TTTTATGTCAGACATGGAGAAGTGGCATAAAACATTTTTTTCACAATGTAATAGCTAATACATACATACAACAAAGTAAAAGTTTTTCTATGCTGGAAATTCTTCGTCCTAAAATCTCCATCAGTATTATATACATTGTATATTGTTACGCTGTCAGAGTAAATAGACCATTCAGGCCCTCTCCAAGGCCCTTATTTTGTGAGGATCCTTTATGGCCACACAGGATTGCATGGTACTTGCCATGAGTATCTTAAAAGGGCTTATTTATGTTTACCTGCAAACATAGCTGGACTAGTCACTGATGAAAGATAATGGAAGCTATCTTTCATCAGTTAGGGGTAGGGGTTAGCCTGGGTGCCATCCGATTTGTAACAGCAACCCCCCAAAAAATTACTGAAAGATAGTGGAAGCTAAGTGGAAGCTATCTTTCATCAGTGACTTGTCCAACTATAGATTTCAATTTTCAGTAACCTGTCCACCTATGCTTTGGCTTATTGATAGGAAGAAATGTAAAAAAAAAATGTTGGACTGGCTTGTAGTCAACAAGTAAACTGAAATGTAAAGGTAATGATGTGTATGTTTAGCCAAACAGATCTTTTAAGCCATACCAATTGCCAAGTAAGTCAACTGCCACAAATCAAAACTACACGAGTGATGTTCTTGACACTGTCATGTGTTGTATTATTAAAGCAAGGCCATCTGCGATAGTCCGTTACCAGGAGTTAATTTGGTGGAATGAAATTTAGTTTATTACTGCCTGCTTGAAAGAGTCCTTACAATATTGATATTCCAAAAGTGTCGGCCACCTGTTTTATGGCTGAAATTGGTATTCAGCATCGTAATACCAAATGAGCCCTTCCTGGCCACTGCTGTCATTAGTAGATCTAGAATTGGTAGTACATGTACATGTTTCTGTAAACCCCATGCAACCAATCAAGTCATTATGACCCATTATGATATTTCTGGAAAAATAAGATTTCTAGTTGTAACTATCACACATCATTTCTTTACCACAGATATTTCAATTTCAATGCAGCATTCGAGTGAGTTGTGATGTGAGGATTTCCTACCCATGCCATCCCACCTGTCACTCAGGAAAGGGATGGGCCTGATGGGAAGCTGGGATCCCAGGGGAAACATTTATCATGTAAGGCTGGGATGGCCTTATGGAAATGTGGCTGTTCCAGTTGGTGTCAGCATCCCTCCCAGGATCACATCTGATGATAGGTTAGGATTAGAGTGAATAAAGTCATTTGGTGGACTCTAGGAGCATATTCAGTAAGAACTATTCACCCCATTTGCACTTATATATGCTCTGCATCTGGCCATCCTAATAATATCTAGGAATGAGAAATAGTCATGTACATGCAGCTTTTAGTAAGTTAAAGTCAAGTTCATCCTGGTAGTGAGTCACTTACATGCCGCCATCATTGGTCATTTTATGTGTTGTATTTTAAGCTTGAGAGCTGAAAAATCTATCTAATGAAAAACAGCCTGTGTGGCAGACGAAAGCCAAAGGAATGGAAACCTGACCATATCTTTACTTACAGTTAGTAATAGCAGATTTAGTTTCATTGCTGTATACCCCTGTTTACTTGTAACTGGGTAAAGGGCCTTGTTTTGTGTGTCTCAGGTCAAATGTCTTAAACTTTTCACCAGGACTTTGTTTTGAAAAGAAAGCAATGCTTTCAAGCTAAAGAAAACCCTACAAGGGACAGGAAATTTATGTATCTTAAAAGCTCACCAGATCTCTAATGTGTAAATACAATGATGAAATTTTGTCCATACCAGACTAAACTGTCTGATTATTTTGTAACTAAACAGGGGAGCATAAGTATACTATAAGATGTAACAGTTTTTGGGGTTGGATCTTAAGTATTCATGAAAAGCATTAGATGGATTCATGCAGTGTTGATGATCTCGTTTATAACATGG